TTTTCCTCTCTGCCTTTCCATCTTCTTCCTTCTTTCTGTCACTCCTTGTGTTATGTTATCAAATAGTCATTTAGTCTATTAATATTCATATTCTCATACATATTTTTAAATGTTTATTTTATATATCAATGTTCCCTTTTCCTCATGGATTTTTTTAAAGAATATTTTCTGTATCTGTGAAGTATAGCATTATATTGGCTATGTCAATATGTCAACTTATCAAAATTTCCAAGTATATGGATGCTCTTTCTATGCATAGATCTACTTTTCTGTTATTTTGGAGAAAGACTTCTATATTTTAAAATAGATGTTGCTTTCTATCAAATTTACATTTTCTGAGAGACTGTTTATATTGAATCTGATCTTTCTGTTCTATATGTATATTATTGTTTCCTAACTTGTTATCTTTATATATTTTCTTTATATTATCTTAAGCCTTTCCTCTGTGACAGTAGTGTATATTTATTTAACACAATACCTTTATTTATTTTTATGTTGTGCTGAGAATTGAGCCCATTGCCTCACATGGGCCAGGCAAATGCCCTATCACTGAGCCACAACTCCAGCCCAGTAATACTCATTTTTGTATTGTTTAATTTCATCCCCTGATGTTTTGAATGCATTAATACTTTAAAAATGAGATTGGTTGTGTATTTAACTTTATAATCCCCATCATTATTTTGCTATCTCATTTCTCAAATATTCCTCCCCCTTTCTTCCTTTTCTCCCTCTTTCTAGTCTTAATTTCTAGGTTTGTTCCACCCTCCAGGATAAATATCTACTCTAGAGTAGTATTACTTTTATTATTTTCTAAAAATTGACACATAAAAATTGCACAAGTTTCTGGGGTACTAAGTGGTATAGGTGGTATATTGGTACTTGTATCTGTTTTGTAGTGTTCAAATCAAGTTAAACATTTCTATCTCCTTAAATATTTATGGTATGTGTGTATATATGTATGTGTGCATGCACGCGTGTGCTCGCGCACGCACACACACACACACAAACACATAGTGAAACATTCAAAATCTTTTCTTTTAACTTATAATTCCTATTCTTTTAATACCACCAAAGAAACACAGGGTTCAGGATATCAAGAGACCTGGAAGTTGGTGAGAGCATTTCTCAACCACCATTTGCTCTTTATTCTAAAACATCAGCGCACATCCTCTGGGTGTGAGATACACTTTTGGGTTCAAAGTCAAACAGATCATGAGCTGCTGCCCACCATGTGGAGACATGGTTACAGAAGTTTCAGTCTCCACCAAAAAGCATCTGCCTCAAAAGACAGGGGCTTCCAGATGGTATAAAATAGAAGATATGATAGATATGATGAACCACCATTAGCACATCCACAGCTTTCAGATAATTTCAGTGAGCACATCCTCTTCCTTCAGGAGAAATATGGAAGTACAAGCCAGAAAAATCTTTGACCCGAGAGCAACTCATCAAAAATTTCACAGGTATCACACTGTGAAGCATGTGAAGTTAAACTCCCAAGAAAGAAACAGGCAATGTGATGACTTGGGAACTTTAACAAGTTTTTAATTCACCTTTCTCCCTGAGTGAGAAGGTGGAAAGCAACAACAAATTTCACTGGTGAGTGTACTGGGATTTTAGGCATACAAGTAGACTATGACCTATAAAAGTGAATTTCTCCAAAAAAAAAAAAAAAAACCCTCATGCTTATTAGTGTTATTAATTTATTAATTCTGTCCACAAGTTCTGTTGGGTCCAAATTTGGGGAAGGACACTTCCATGACTCCCTCCCTTTCTATAGAATCCTCTTTTTCCCTCTATTCCAGGTGTGGTTTGAAAGATGAGTGTTATTTTTATCTACTTTTATATCCCTTTAGAGCAAAGAGTTAAAGTTACCTGATAAGTGTATTTACAAACCTAGTTGACTAGGTTTTGTTCCTTTTGGGGATTTGAATGGTTGAATGTTTTTTTGCCTATGTTCACCAGAGTAAACACAGGAGTATCTTAATCCTAACAAAAAGACACTAAGATTTGCACACTCCTGTGATTCATCTTGGAACACCAGTTGTAGGGAACCCTGTCTGGTTTTTTCATTTTGTTTTGTTTTAATCTACTGAGCCTCTCATAACTTCCTTGTGATGTGTAAAAACTGCTGGCCTCTTAGCAGTTAAGCAGTTAAGCTTGACTCTTCCTCAACAGTCTGCGCTCACTGTTCATCTACCTCTTGGTAATAGAGGATTTAGTGATAATTCTCAGGATTTTGTTAACCCTTTCTCTTTTTCTGGGAAGCTCCTGTGACATATGATGTGTTCAGGAATGCTGCTAAGCTGTATTAGAATCAGCCTTCTGCTCCTAAACACCAATTTTTAGGTCTTCTGGCAGCAAACTATAACTTATTCTTTGGTTGCTACTGCTTAACACTTTCCTACATTTTTAATTTTTTCCTTTCTTCCCCCCCTCCCCCAATTTCTCTAGATGTTAAAAGAAAGAGATTTTAAGACCTGTCCTATTTTTTCTTTTTTTATTTTGGAGACTATTCTCCTGTGAAGGTCCTTTTGAAAAGAACAGATCATTGGAATGGGCTTGCTAAGTTTTATTTAAAATATTTAGTACACAGAACTGGATTCTTACCTGCAGGTTCTAATAAATATATTAGATGATATTTGTACTTTCCTATCTGTCAAGAATGTGCAAATTACATAAATGACTCATAGACATTCATAATTATTGTATCTTCATTATGATTTCTAGATTTTTGGTTTTACACAGAGTTTTTCTTCTTGTTCACTCCATTTTGACCTGAATATGGCTGACATATGTACCAGTCTCTGCATTTTTGACAGTCTAGAACAAAACTGGAATTTTGTTTTTTATATATAGCATAAAATTAGGCTTTGCTTTATTAACCAAACAAAAATGCTAACTAAAATTTGATCTATACATCTAATATATCATGAAATACAAACAAAATTGATTGATTTGTAGCATATGAACCAAATTTTCCTAGTTTTTAACTCAATATTTTTTCAACACATAAATTAGACTGACATATTTATTATCATCTTAGGCAGAGTCAAAAGATCTGTTCAACTGGGCATGGTGACACACACTCTAAACCCAGCTACTCACAAAGGCTGAGGGAGGAGAATGGCAAGTTCCAGGTCAGCCAGGGCAACTTAGCAAGGCCCTGTCTCAAAATAAAAAAATAAGAAGTACTAGGGATATAAAACTCAGTGATAGAGCACTTCCCTTGTATGTGTAAGACCACAAAACTAAAAGCAAAATAAAAAAAAAAAATCAGATCTGTTCGAAGAGCAGTATGAAATGATGGATTTTAAAATAATAGTTCAGAAAGTTCATTGATTTGGTTTCAGATTCCTCATTGCCCCTCATCCTAGGAAACTACCTCTTGTAAAAGTTTTAGTTTTCTAACAAAAAATATCCACAATTGTCTGATAAAGACAGTAAAATATCTTTCCCCTTTTCAACTAAATATCTGAGACTGGATTTCAGATATACTCCTACTAAAATAACATATTGCTCTTGACTTAATGTAGACACAGGCATTAGAATCTATCTGTTCTCTATCAGTCAAGCATTTGTGCAATTTGAAAAAAATAACATTTTTTATTTTAGAAAATTTGTTAATTTTCACTAAAACAATTACAGATACATTATTTTCATTTTAACTGAATTAATTAATTTTTAAATATGTTCACATTTTTTATTTAAAATGAGAAATTTAAGGTTTCTAATGTCAACAGATATAATCCACATAGATGAAGTTCTCTGAAAATCTTCAATTTTTTTTAAGAGTATAAATAAATCCTGACCAAAATGCTTGGGAACAAATAATTGACAGTCATGTTTAGACCATCAAGAGATTTCTGTGTTCTAAAGATAAAAATCAAGTCAACGATATGACCTCAGTTAAAAATATTTTAGTATCACATGGGCCTTCATTTCCCATATAATATTTCCATTTGTGAAAACACCATTCCTCCTCTGTATAAGAATGTCCTTCATCATCGATTTCACTTGGATAATTCTTTCTCATTCTGGTTTCAGCTCAGGCAGTACTTCCTAGGCAAGTGTTGCTTTGTTTAAGACTCTCTTGAAATCATGCTCTTGTACTTCAGAGCCTTTTGTTTCTTTCTAATCATACATTTATCATGGAAATAATCTGATTAGTATTTGTCTCCCAGGAGATGAAAAAGTCATGAAACCAATAACCATGCATGTGATTGGTTATGGTTTAATTTTCTTGTGTTCTTTCTCTGTAGTAGAATGCTCAGCACAGTGTAGGATGGCAAATAAAATATTTGTTGTCACAAGAGTCTGTGGATGAATATATGAATTAATAAATAATGAGTGGAGTAATAAAGGATTGGACCTAGTATGAATGGCTTCTTCCAGCATGTAAGACTCAAGATAGAACACTAGAAGAAAATGCATTGATTGCCATTTAGATCATTCATCATATCTTGCTTTAGACAATATTATTACATATTCTTGCTAGCTATTTATTTTACTAAGGAAACAGGAAGTAGTAGTAATAATGTACAATCATGTTTAGTTGTGTTAGTGAATGTTCTGCAGCAAGCCTGGTAATAAGCAATTGCTGGCAAGCAACTTCTTGAATTTCCATGACTTATTATTATTTCCTATAAATTATATTAGAATTCTGTTATGTATGTTTTTCTTCCTATAGTCTCATCTGTTACTCTTTTTCTTAAAAATCTACATCTGAATAACACATCTACTTATCGTCCTCATACCTCCTTTGTTACTAGCCCATCATTATATTAAACATACATTGTTATAAGTAGCTGTCTAATTTATCCATCTCTTGATTGGACTATTTACTCCTTAAGAGTTTGGACTGTGTTTTATTCATCTGTATATCCATAGAACTCAATAAGGTATTTAGCATTTGATAAGCATTCAATAAATTAATGCATTGAACTAATATTTAATAAATGGCATTACATGTTCCTCAACTTTTTATTAAATTCTTTCAGTTAAAACACAGGTAATGGGAGAAATCAAAATTGCATTGAAAAAGGAAATGAAAACAGATGGTGAACAATTGATAGTTGAAATTCTCCAGTGCAGAAATATTACCTACAAATTTAAGTCTCCTGATCATTTACCAGGTAAGTAATCTTATGACAATGGTAAATATATCTAGAAATTTATTTGGGATATGTCTTAAATGTTATAGGAAACACTAATTCAAATGTAATCAGTATACTGACCACAATTATATACATCAAAGAATATATATTATATATATATAGATAGATAGATATAGATATATAGATATGAAAAAAAATTCTGTTGTATAGGTCAATTTTTTCCTAGTTTTTGGTTAGATTCTTCAGCACACAAATTAGACAATTATATTTATTAATCAACAAGAAAACAAATCCAAGTTGATAAGAAGTTGGTATGTTTTTAATCACTTTATGTTGTCTGAAACAAATTATACACCATTTATTGCCTTTGTGTAAAATATAGGTAGAACTCTCAGCATGAAATTATAGTTCTTTCAGTAGAAAATTATCTGGTTTATGGAAACTTACTGGGATGGAATCTTATTTTCAGATTTATATGTGAAAATATATGTCATGAACATCTCTACCCAAAAAAAGGTGATCAAGAAAAAAACAAGAGTATGTAGACATGATCGAGAGCCTTCATTTAATGAAACTTTTAGATTTAGCCTCAGTCCTGCTGGACATTCTCTTCAGGTAACTCTATAGTTACTATTTTTAAAATTTCATTCATGTTTTATTTATCCATTTTCTATTTGATTTTTAAATATTTATTTACTTATCATATACTATATGACACTTGAGAAAATGATAAATCCTTAGAAGCATCTCCCCCAAAACTATTTATACTTTTGTAGCCCACTCACTTCATCCAGTCATCTGCCAGTTCTTTTCTACTCTGGCCATTCTGTTAATTTTACATTGATTCCCCATACTTCCATGTTACTGCCATTAATCCTCTTTATCTCCCATCTTTGTTATTCACATTACTTTGGTAGTTTATATGGCCAAATTGTCATTGATGTTTTATTCCTTTAATTCATTTTATCACACTGTTTACCTGAGTTATCATTTAAAAACACTAGTTGGGTTGCCATTTTTCTTTAGTCATTCAGAGTCCTTCAAGGTGAATTTCAGTTGTATTGATTTAGTCATAGCTCCTTGTATACTTTTCCACTCACTCAATACTCCAGTCACTCCAGAATCTTTTCAAATCAGGCTAAGCTTCCAATCTTTGCTCATATTTTTTCTCCACTTCAAAGCTCCTTTGTCATTCCTCTCCATCTATCACCATACTCCACATTTTTTAAATATAAATGTCATGCTTTTACTGGTGATCCCGGATAAGTATGTAATTTTGACTATTTTTTTTTTTATAGATTTTGCTTTTCTCCAATGGAGGGAAGTTTATGAAAAAGACCTTGATTGGTGAAGCCTGTATCTGGCTTGACAAAGTGGATCTTAGAAAAAGAATAGTCAACTGGCACAAACTTTTGGTCAGTCCTACACAACCACATTGAAGAAAAGTGTCTGCTCAGGGTATAAAATGGATCTACATAGCCTCAAATCAACGTTATAGTCAGATACTATTGTACTGAGCTATTTTCAGAGGCAAACATGAAGTGGGAACAACAGACGAAAAGCATGTTAAAGCCTTGTAAATTTACTGCTGTGGGACACAGAAAAAGACACATGAGAAAGTTTACATGTTGATAACCAACCCACAAAAGTAGAGCTCTGAGACCTTGGATTTCCCATGACTGTGAAGATAAACCATGAGAGACATTTTGGATACTTAAGGCAAAAATCTTTGAGTAGAGTGAGCTGTAACTAAAGACAGCCTCAAAGATTGACTTGGCTTCCAAATGCAGCACAGATGCAATTCTTTATGCAAAGAAACCTTGGTTGAAAGAACTGAAATAATGAATCTCTGTTGTCAAAAAGCCTTCTTCTTAGTGTTCTCAGGCAACTTGCTGTTTTGAGATCCTGATATAAGATACATCTATAATATGTGTACAGGACTGGACATGAGGTGGCTGTGTTCGTAGGGAAGATGGAACAGGAGATACAGAAATCTTGGCTTTTAGGCCATATCGTACAGGTTTTCCCTTTGTAAATGTTACAGGGATATACAAGACCAGTTTTGGAATCCTTATGGTTAAAGCACATTTGTTTTAATAGAATTTGAAATATAGAGAGTGAAGATAATACTAGGTAGACATGAAATTACATTTATCTAGAAATAAAACCATGAATGGTTAATAAAGAAGAAAGTTGACCCACAAAATATTGGAACTCTGGTTGAAAATATCAAAATCTCCATAATTTATCATTAAGCCAAGGCATTTCCATCTACATAACAAAGGGCCTAGATTAAATTGGTATGTCCTAGGAAGCATGATCAGTTCTTTGTGGTATTGCATATAAATGTATTAACCTGCATTTTCCTTTTTCTTGAGTAACATATTGTTAGAAAATTCTTCCTCTGGCAAACAAATCATATTAATTTGATTTAATTAATTAATTAAATTAGTATAATTTCTTGTTATCCATAATTTTTTTTCATGAAGTCATTAACTGATTGTACAATAATAACTCTCACATCAAACTCAAGTTCTCTCAAGTACTCTCTTTTTCTCTATTAGCGACAATATCATAGTGATCAAGTTCATCAATGTGGGGAAAATGTGAAAAAGTCAACATTTGAGATTAAAACATACTTTGAGCTATTTTAATAATATACAATGACACAACCAAGGTTTAAGTTATTAAAGTGAAGCATCCTCTTCTCCATCAACCCACCACATTGACAAAGGAAGTAATGTGGATTTGCAGAAAATACACTCAACTGAGATTAGAACCCTGGCTTCTGTCTAGATTCTGCTACTGACCTTGTACATGTCACTTTGAAAATGTCACTTAAACTCAGTTTAACCCAGTTTTTTAAATTGTAGGTAATAATAATGATACATTCCTAGCCCTCCTCATTGGGATGTTGGGATGATTCAATGAAGAGATCTATGAAAAATGAAAGCACATTTCCAAATATAATCTTACACAGAAGTGAAGAATAATTGTTATGTAGCTTCTTAATTCTCAAATTTTGTATGTGAGAAAAGTCCTCCAAACCAATGGTAAGCATTGCAATAGATAAAAGCAGTAAATTTGTTCCCAAACTCATTTTTTATTTAAAATATGAATATTCATTTAAAAATATGGAAGAATTAATTAAAAATTATTTGTTTTATTATACTAAATTAAATAAATTATATTGATCTCATCTTATTTCCATGTCCTGACCAAAATAAATTTTAATTACTTCTCAGAGCATTTTGAACTTAAAAGCTGCTATTTCAAGGTGAGGTTTTAGTGGTTTAATTAGAGGAAATGAGTACCAAAGTGTTGGTTGGATGTCAAATTTTCTCATTTTTAGAGAGAAATTACTTTCAATTAGAGAGTAATATAAAACACTAAAACTAAAGAATTTGTAATATATATCCCAGGCTATATATCTTTATAATACTCATAAAGAAATACAAATTCACTTTTCCCAACCTAACATGACCATCACTTTTCTTCTCTATATTTTTTAATCCCCCTTGTCTGATAGTATAATAACATTGACCATTAATACTACTCTAAAGTGAGCATAGAGGAGGTAAATCATCAAAGATATGATATTGCTAGGATTTTATTTTTAGAGATTACTAGATCTGCTGATAGTTGCCATGGATATTTCCAGCAGAAGCTAGCACTTGGGGAAGCCTGTAATCATCAGTCATAATTGGGGAAGAAAAAGGTCCAGGAAGATCTCCTTCTGACATAATAAGGCTCTGCTGTTTGCTCTTAAAAGGATACCCTGGCTCACCTTTGTTCTCTTCTCCAGCCACTTTCATCCAGAGGTATGCATGAGAGGTTGTATAACCAGTTAGCTTACTTCATTGCAGTTGCAATTTCTTTTGGAATAATACAAATGGAGGGCCAATTAAAACAAAGATCATCCCTTAATAGCTATTTAACCTGAAAGAATAAGAGCCTTTCTATTCTAGGTGCCCCTCCATTCCAAGAAACTAGTGATAAGATCAATCAAGAAGGTCAATGACAGGGCTTCTTTTCATGCACCAGCATTCCCCTTCAGAGAGCATAAGATCCTGCCAGCGTGCCAAGTTTGCAACTGACCAAACTCCTAGGTTGTACTGGAATTATTCTATGCAACACTGATCCTTATATGAATGCATTTCTTCTGAATGGTGTTGATTACCCTTCTTACAACTAAACTATTTCTTTTTTAATTTCATATAGGGCTCTTGGTATTTTTTACTTTTTTGTATATATCACAGCACATGATTTTCCACTTTTTATTTTATTTAATTTTATTGGAATTAGCTTCTTTTTATCCTAATAGCAACAGTTTGTAATCTCTAATTAATATGTGACTAGTCCAAATACAACACCTATACCTTGAAAAGCATCAGAATTTTCCACTATTTCATTGAGTCATCAAAGACTGAAGTGGTATGTTACTTGAAAATTTGGTCCTAAAGAAACATAAGCTGTAGAGGAAAAGCACAGAGAGAATTTTTACAAAAGACAGAGACTCTAGAACTGTCATTACAGACACAGACAACCACTGGTAGCAAGAAGTTGGTGTTTTCCCTGTTTTTACTTAAGATTAGGGAAATTTTCTGTGACTATGAACTCTTTGTTTACCATTTTGGTTCGAAAGAATAATACCCAAGACAAAGGGGTAGCAATTGTTTTTACTCCTTAATATTGCCCATATTTTAATAAATCACACTAATTAAATGCATATTTTCAGCATATCAATAAGATTAATTTTGTGAATCACACACATTAAAATAGTCATATTGTTGGATTATTATAGCTGGTAACCAGCTGATATTGATTCTTATTATAGGAAAGGTCGTGACGATGGTGGTGGTAGCATAGTGATACTAATGGTGGTGATGTGAAGTAAAATAAATTGTATATTATATGTGCCCAAAATATTAGGAATTATTTGATCAATGCTTCATTTCATCAAGAAATCATAAAGATGTTTATAGTATTTTTTTACTTTATTATTTAAATCATAACTAACAATATTTTTAAAAACTTATTTTCATTGCTAGAATGTCTAATATTCTAAAATCAGCCAACTACAGCTATGTGTTTATAAATATATGTGTGACAGAAGTGATTTTCCCTCTTTTTGAGCTTGAAATGAAAATGAGAGGTAGCTCAATGAATAATTATGAGCTGTTTCTTTAATAATTTCTTGCCTTTGGTATAATACAAGAATGAATGAATGAAACAGATTTTCATTGAATAAGACACACTGATGTTTTCTGTATGTCCCATGTTGTTATTATTAAAGTTACCCATTAAACCAAAATCATTTAATCAAATCTCTGATCTGATAGGTAGATTGAGAGCATTTTCTTAATTCATTACCCTGTACATAACTATACATTTGGTAAAATAGATGAAGTTGAAATATTCATTTTTTGGCATTCAGCATGTGAATATTATTATTATTTGATTGTGTCTATATATTTGTTCGGTGATGTGCTCAGGTGCTCCCACTACTGATTAATGTGTGTGCTAATATCCTAACAACACATATGATGTTAAAAAAATTTCTTGTCTGATAAAATTAAAAACCTAATAAAGTCAATTTCAAAACAAAAAACAAAGTACTTGGAGATATGTCTTGTTTGTGACTATGTTGCATGCTGTGTTGGTGATTTGCTAATATTCTTTTCTCTTTCTTTCTTTCTTTCTTTCTTTCTTTTTTTTTTTTTTTTCCCCCCTTTGGTTTGCCCAAATCCCTCTGGGAAATCTAATGAACAAATGCAAATTCTCGGACTAAAGATGGTATAAACTGACCTGAAAATAAATGAGAATTATATTTAAAAAATGCTTGTAAATCTGTCTTGAGTTTTATTCTATGTAAAAATATGTCTTGGTTTTGTGATTGTATACAAGATGTATCTTGATAACTTATGTAAATTGTGCTGTATAAAGGCTGTTGTCTCAGCCTTACTAATAAATATTGAAAATGTGAACTTTGATGTCTTCAGTTTATCAACGAATTTTGGGACCCAGGCATATGCCCATTTGTAAATATTGTCAATGTGAAAGCAAAGTTTAAAACTACCACTCTAATAAAACAAAAAGCAAAAAGAAAGGAGATGATTTGAAAGATGTAGATAGATTTTAGATCATTTATGAAGAGGTTCAAAGAGAGTCCTTCTGATGGCTACAGTTTTCTCAGTGGAATAAGGAATGAAGTTATCTGCTTAGAATGGATTAAGTATTTGAAGGGAGTACAGGAGGTTTAAAACAGTTCTGGGGTAGAGTGGAGAATAAGTAGCCAGGAAGAGAAAGATTCTGTGCATGTTGGGGGTCCCTTTGAGTTTAGTGACAATACAAAGTGAAAATAGCTCAGTGCTTGGTTCATCTTTGATGTTCTCCACCCTGGACTTGGAGTCTATTCATCAGATCGCAAATAGGACACGGTAAGTCTTAGTTAGAATGGGTCTTACCAGATGGATTACACAGAAAGAGAGAGAAAGAAACTGAAGTCCAAGAAAGTGCAGGACACAGGACGATTTGATCTTAAATTGCTTGACCATCTAATATATAATACTTAAGAAAGGAAATAAAGAGAAAGAACAAAGAACTGGGAAATAGAAACATATTTTAAAATGAAATAAGAGGATAGAAAGACAAGTTGTCCTTGGACAATTTTGTGAAATTACAGGGGACTGTGAGTCAAGTCAGAAGGCAACTAAAAAGTTGACCAGTTTAACTAAGAGAATGAGAGCCAAAGTGGTGGCGAAAATGTGTTATTTATTTTAGAAATGCAGAAACTGTTCCAAGCATAGTTTACAATGGTGATGACCTTTAAAGACAGGTTTATAAGGTATTAGGATCAGATTGTATAACTTGCCATATATTTGATATTTTAAATGATTCATCGAGTACTATCTGATTCTACCTTTCATTTATCAATGAAAAGTAATGCAAGTAAAATATTTCTAGACATATTTAAGAGCCTCTATACTTCATGTTTCAAAAAACGGGTTACCATTTTCTTCAGTATACTCATAATTGTACCTGAACATTGAAAAAAGAGAGCTGATCCTGAGGCAACAGCTGATTATTAGCAAAATTGGCCAATTTTCTTTCCTTTTCTGTGTGCTATTTTAATCAGTTCATACTGACCCTTGGATGTTCAGATGACATTTCTGCTTTAGCAGTGAAAAGTTTTGTGTTGTGGAGACAGGCTTTATTCTGTCAAGCAGGAGAATTTAATTTTTTTTGTTTTATTTTATTCAGTTTTTTTTTATTTTGTCTGTGAAATTCAAAGAACTCTTACTGTCACTTGTTTAGAGCTTTTGAATGGTTCAAATACTGCCTTAAAGAGGGCTACTCAAATCTGCTGTTGTAAGCATTTCAAAGAAAGCATTTAGTATACATTTTATCTATCTATCTATCTATCTATCTATTTATTATAAGTGGTTTACTAATGCAAGATTATAAATTTCAGGAATACAAGAACCATGTTTGTTTTGCTAATCATTATAAACTCCTTTTCTAACATTGTGTCTGCAATAGAATAGGTACCTAATAAGTATTGTTTAAATTAAAGGATTATTTTATTTCTCAGACAGCTTTAACCTAGAGGAGAAGTAAGGAACATCTGTCTTCACGATGCACTAACTCTTCCCAACGAGAGAAAAGTGTAAATATTGTTAGTTTTATAAAAATAAAACCAGTTATATGCCAAAATAGAATTTTTAAAAACATGAATAGAAAGGGAAGAAGAGAAGAAGGGAAAGGAAGAAAATAACTAAATGCTAAATTCAAGATCTAAGGAAATCTTGCTCTCCTCCTCTCCCACAAAGAATGTACCTCCTCATAACAGGATGACTTTTTGCAACTTAGTGCAAAGCTTCCATTGAAGTTAGGCTCCTATTCGCCATGCACAGAGACTGGGAGACAGGGCGCTATCTTTGATGGTTACCTTTCAAAGGGATGGTTCTAAGGTACTTGAGAAAGACATTCCTGGGTTATAAAGTAGACTTGAGGCTTGAAGAAGGAAAAGTGTATTGTCTGAAAGAAGACAGTCCATGGTTTGATCAAGCAGAGGGAACTGTTCAAGCCATCTTGATCACTCTTTGATTCCCACTCCCTATCCCTAACACACACACACACACACACACACACACACTTCCTTTTCTCTATCCTTTCCTCTGGAAAGAAAATACCAGGTGAATTCGAAGTCAGGGAAAACACTAAGAGAACAAAGGACGGCACCCTTTCTGAACAGTACAGAGATGGCTTGCCAGGAACTGTGATGGGAAAGAGGCAACAAGAAGAATGACTGAGGCCTATGGGCACAGGTATAATAGCAAAAGACTTTCATGAGTTTCAATATTCTAAACAAGAAGAGCCATAAAATGTCACTAAAACTGATTCCCTTCCTGATTCTAGCATTCAGTCAAATCTTAGGCAAGTAGGCCTTTTTCCTTAGAAATTCTGAGAAAACATTTCTTGTAATTAAATGTTTTGGCGAATGTATTTAATTTAAAATTATCACTATTACACAAAACACATTTTACACAGAAAAATATTTCACAGCAAATGGCCAAATTGAAGAATAAGTAGGAGAGAAGAGAAAAAAATTCTCAGATAAAATTTTGATACCTTATCATCACAGTATCATTGCCCAAGTGACAAAATACTTGCAGGAATCTAAGGGCAATAACATTAGGGGAAAAAAGCATGAAATGCTGATTTAACTAGTACTCTGGCATTAGTGTGATATCTAGAATCTGAAGTGAAAACAAAACAAAAACAAACAAACAAACAAACAAAAACCCTGAAAGTGAGCTATTGTCAATAAACTTATGAAAATCTTGAATAAGATTATCTAGAGTCAAGGATGGAAAGAGTTCTGTAACATCTACAATCTCTTCTTAATAAAAATAGCAATCAAAAAAATTGTGTCCAGAGTTGGTACAGGCTTATTAACATTTTCTGAAATATTTTCACTATCAAATTTGTAAGCAAACACCTGGGACAAATTTGGAATTTGGAATTTTTTTTTAACCCACTATCACTTTTCAAACCACTTTCTCAAATTTTATTTTTTTGTTGTTGCTGGTTTGAAAAAAAACAAACCGTGAAGATTATCTAGGTCTGTAAACCATAATTAAGATAAATTAAAAAATTTTGTGGGGGAGATAATTAAAAGATAAGCAATTAGCATAAGCATAATCTAGTCTTTGCCCATGATTAAAAAGTGCCAGAATTATGCCAGGGCCATTACATTTGCATGCCCCTCATGCCAGTTCTAGAGTGTTAATGAAAAAGGTAGCTAGTGTTATTAGACGGTGTTACTCTAATTCATTGTTCAGCATCTCTTTGGGGGTTACTTTCTGTTAGGCATGAGCTTATGATTCAAACATTTTCACAATTTCAACTCCCAGGTGTCCTTCAACATGCTATCCTAGACCTTTTTATTTCTTATCCTTTAGTCTTTTCTTTCTAGATTCTTCACCAGCGACCTAAACCATTAGTATATGTCCAGAACCTGAATGTATCCTCGCTGGCCACTTCTCCTTCCACAGAGTGGATGACCATGTTCTCCATTTGTACCTCCACTAATCAGGAAGATTTTCTTTCTCCATAGATTAGCAATTAATACTACTGACTGCTGAAATCCATTTTCACTTTGAACTCATAGGTTGAATCTCCTTATCTTTGGGGAGCGGCAAATAAATTATTGCTTTGAACTCTGCATCTGCTTATCTTTCCACACAAAGGTGTAAAAGATACATCCACCTGCAGATGGCTGCTATTAATAGGGCTGATTCCATGATTGTCTTGGAATTTATGAGTTCAATAGCTTTGAATTTTGATGCCTTCTAGCCTTAGGTGAAAGAGATACCAGTGCACTTAACAGCCTTGAGGTGCCCCTGCCTGAAGGAGGAAGAATTACTGCACAAGCAATTAAGGCCAGGACCGGGCCAATTCCTCACAGCTTCTTGCCATTTGGTTACCTTGAAGAACCCCCTCCTCATCATAAATTCATTTGGTGTGTTTCACTATAAATAAAGGATTCACAGGTTTTTCCATTTGTTAGGATCAGACCCAACTTCCAGCCGTCAATGCTCCTGCTTTTAAAACTATTTTCTGTCTTTTGTCTTCTGTTCCTTATTGATTATTTTCAGACTTCTTATTTCCAGCCAGCCCACACCTCCAAGGGTTCCATCTAATGCAGGCCTTTGGCTGACACTTATCCATAATCAACCTTGTTTTTGTTTTTTGTTTGTTTGTTTTCTCTTCCTTCAGTTGGTCATAGAAAATTCACTCGGAAGGAGGACTGACACAATCATGCCTATTGACAAGGGGTTCTGCAACACCTGCTCATGTGACTTGTCTGTACCTTCGGCCATTGCTTAGACTTGGTCTCAAATGTACATCTTGTAATTTATGATAGCCACTACTGATCCTGATGATGTTATGACATTGTGGTTCTAAGAGAACCCAGCTCATTATGGGAAGTTCCAGACACATGTTCACCTTTTTTCCTATAATCAAGAGTTCCATCTATACAATCGTAAAGTCTTATGCCAGGAGGTGGTTTTCAAAGGGAATAGCATTTCTCTACTGCAGATAACTTGGCCCTGCTCCAGAATCCCAATAGCACATATTATAATTCTCTCACTGGAGTTTGCCAAAACTTACATTTCCATCTTTTCCACTAAGGATATTTATAATATAAAACCTGACAGATTATATAGCCCAAGTCGTAGGGCCACTTGTACCACAACTTAGACCAGCTTCAGAATCCTTTTCTATTCTGGGACTCATTCTAACCTCATGTCCTTCCATATCATTCACATTTAGGTCCTTGCCATTATTTGTATGTTAGCAATGCATTCTGACCTGAACCCCAAAAGATATGCTGGGCATTGTGCTTCCATTTCTGTGACAGGTGTTAGAAGGTATATCAAAGTGTTTTACTTTGTACTAAATATCTCCAATGTCCCTG